CTTCCCGCGGACTGGTACTGTGCCATGACCCATAGTTTGGGGAATGCTTTTGTGTCCCCCCTCGCTACACCTCTGCCAGGAGCCCAGAACACCTGGCTGCATCTCTGCCCAGCCTGGTCCAAAGCTTGAGGGACCTGGCACAGCATGGGCACTCCAGGAGCCCCAAACACCCTGGCAGCCATGCTGAGGCCCGGTACTTTCTTCCCGCGGACTGGTACTGTGCCATGACCCATAGTTTGGGGAATGCTTTTTTTTAAGTTAAACTAAGATGGCTACTGCTCTTAGACCTTGGAGTACATGTATCATTATCCTTTCTAACAGACAGATGCCTGTTTGGAAGATCTTGCAACTAAGGCTTCACTCTACAACACAGCTAGCATCACACCTAGTACTTGTTGCTTCTGACTCCTGACTCATAAGAGCCAGAACCCTATCAGATAGCAAAGATCTGGTCTTAATGCAATATAGTTTACCATGTATGTATTCGTAACACAGGATATGAAAAAAATAAGATCAGAGTTATAGATATCAGCAACACTCAAAATCTATTAAAAGAATCTTTTTCTTTCTTACCATAAACCATTAACACGGGGTGGGCAGTAATTGTTCATTGGGGCGGGCGTCACTCCCAAGAATTTGGTAAGTGGTTGAAGGCTACACTCTTCCATTGTATTAATGGAGAAGGTGCAAGAGTCTGGGCTAGAGATTGGGTGCAGATGGGTACTTGGGGTAAAGGGGTGGGTGGAATCTGCAAGGGAGTTTGGGTGAAGTAGCAGATTATGACCTCAGGCAAACAGATTGGGGCAAAGAGGGGGTGTAGGGCTTGGAAGGAGGTTGTGACCTGGGGAGGAGCTGCAGTGTCTGGGAAGGTATATGGGGGCTGGAGCAGGCATGCAGAAGGTTTGGGTTTCATGGGGTAGGAGCAGAGGGTTGGAGGGGGGACAGAGGGACTGGAGTGCTAGAGAAATCTTATCTGGCTCCCAGCCAGCAACTCAGCAGGTTCCTTAGCCAGGGTCCCTGCCTTCCAGCCCCTGTATATATCAGGGGAGCTGTAGGAGCAATGTTCATTGCTCTGAACTGAATGCTGTGAGCCTGGGGGATGAGGGAGGAGAGGCGCTTCACATGCTGCTTGTCCTGCAAACATGCAACTGCTATTGGCCGAAACCAGCCAGTGGGAGCTCCAGGCTCTGTGTTTAGAAACACCCACGTGGCCCTGAAGCTGACTTACCTGCTTGGCACTCAGGAATGGGGCAGGCAGGGAGCCAGCTGAGGCTCTTGTGGCTGGATCTAGCTCACAGATTGTCCTTTTTTTGCCTAGCTGTGGAGTAGAGGCTAGAGCCAGCTTCTCCATTTATAGCAGGTAGCAGCTGCTGCTTCTGCTTTTCCTGGAGGGTGAGTGCCCTGTCCCCTCACCTTCCCCAGCCCAACAGCTGAGCTCCTTGCCTGTGTGGGGAGCTATGAACCTCTGTGTGGGGCTCAGAAAAGAGCTGTGCAAACACGCAGCTTATAGGGAACCTTGATTATGGGATGGGGGTGACTTTACGTGATGAAGAAACTGAATGCTGGAAACTTCACCTCCTAGTCCCAGAGATCCTTGGCCCTCCTTACTCTCCCAGAATATTGTAAACATTTCCCGAAAGGGTATTATTCCAGATCAGGGGTGGCCAACCTGTTCTGGACGAAGAGCCAACATCCAGCTGGAACCAGCATGTAAAGCTGGGGCAGAAAAGTTGTAGAGCCAAAAAAAAAAAACCTGTCCCTTTAAGAAGGCTTTTTGGATGGCCATTTTAATCTGGATGCTCTGCCCCGGTGAGCACAGGGAACCTGGGAGGCATGGGTTGTGTTCCGGGGCCTCAGAGGTGGCTTTGAGCTGCACTGACAGGGGGAAGAGCCGCAGGTTGGCCACACCCACCATAAGGAAGAGGGTATGTCACATTGGGATACTTATCTTTGATGTGCTGCATTTTTCATCAACACTCCCAGTATGCCCGTGATGTACAAACTTTGGTTGAAGCAAATTATATCAGTGTACAGATGCTGAAGTTTGTAGAGTGGTTTTGAGCTACATCCTAGGTGAACGAATCTGTCCCACTTGGAATTACAGTAAAACTCCATTAGTCTGGCATCCAGTGCTCCGGGACTCCTGATGGTCCGGCACCATCAGGAACCCGGAAGTGCTGGGGCAGCCGGACAGGCTTCCCCCATTCCGCTGCTGCTGAAACAGACCAGCAGCTGAATCGGGGAAACCGGGAGCAGAGCAGCTGGGGTGCTGCTGGGTTGGTCTCGTAGCGCCGCCCCTGGGCGCTGCGGGACCACCCGGCAGCACCCCAGCTGCTCTATTACAGGCATCCTCCCTACCAACCCGGCAGCACCCCAGCTGCTCTATTACAGGCATCCCCGATTCAGCTGCTGCTGAAACTGACCAGCAGCGGCTGAATCAGGGACGCTTGGGGTAGAGCCGGACTATCGTAAGGGGGGGGCTATGAGAGGTCTGGGGTGGCATCCTCTCCCACCCCACTCCAGATCCCTCATAGCCCCCCTTCTGATAGTCCGGCATATCTGATAATCTGGCACCCCCTGGGTCCTAAAGGTGCCGGATTATCAGAAGTTTACTGTAATTACAAATTTCTATCAATACCAAATGAAACAGTGGATTAGGTAATTCATATTGTGGTAGGAACTTGATGTGCTCAGAAAGCTCTCAATCAATGAGCAAAGCTGGAAGGTCATGCCTAGGCAAAACAATGAGCTTGCTACTTCCAGGGTATCTGCTTTTTCAATGAACTCTTCATTGATGTGGGGGCTAGTTTTCTGTTCATATGGCTAGGACAGGGTTTTTTTGTATGTTACCAAATATACTGTTTAGTTGTGCCGTCTGTTCTTCGTGACTGCATCCTTGGAGCACACCTTTAGAGAGTGGGAAGCAGGATTCTCTCAAAGGACTTAAACAAAATTCAGGGACTTGCAAAAGTGAGAGCTCCCAACCAGAAAGAATTGTATTGAAGAGTTAACATTGATGTTTAAATTTCATGCTTAAAATTAAAATGAGAGAAATGTATTTGTATGCCTGTTCCCTTACACCTGTCAAGGACAGTGTCCAAGTAAAGTAACTTGGAACCAGATCACTCAGGCAAACTGTGGACGGAACGTGTCTCGCTCACTAGTTGCTTAGACTGCAGGGTTTCACTAAAGAGTGTAGTGTGCCTGAGTGACCCAATGCTAGGAACAACAATACAGTCGCTACCCAGACAGCTTAACTGCCTGTATAGTTCTCAACAGTCTGGTATCAGTTTAGAAAGTGGGATGGGACCAGGCCTGGCCTTTGGGCAACGTGAGCGTGGCAGTCACCTTCGGCCCTGTGCATTCAGGGACCCGTGGCTCCATGCTGCCCAGCTCCTGGCCCCGCCCAACCAGCTAGAAGCCACAGGGTCATGTGGCTCAGTGTGCTGCCTTGGGCCCCACACACTCTTTGGCTGGGCCTGGATGGAAAAGGCTGCAACACACAGAAATCTTTTTGGAGTAGGGTTTGGCTCATTTTAAGTATCTAGTGCGAATACTTATAAGTAGCCAGCTGTCTGCTGAATTCTCAGGTACAGCCTCAGTAAGGGCAGGTTATCTGTGTAAGGGCTCTTAAAAGTCAACAGCTATGTTGACTTGGAGAGAAGGAACCCTAAAGATGGATTAGTTCACAATTCAAGAAGGATGTTTAGACAGTTCAGACAAGAACAATGAGAATGATTTAAAGGATTATATCATCTACTTTATAATTAAAGATTCAAGGAGCTCCCTCTATTTAATTCATCAAAGAGAAGTTTAAGGAGTGAATTGATTAGTGTAGCAATATTGGGAGCAAATATTTAACAATGGGTTCTTTAGTCCAAAAGAGAATGACACAACCAATGACTTAAATTGAAGTTAAATTTAAACTGGAAGTAAGGTATACATTTTTAATAAGAGTAGGGTTGCTAGATGTCCGGTATTGACCTGGACAGTCTGGTATTTTCGCCTCCTGTCCGGTTTTTAAAAAAAAATCAGAAAATACCGGACACCTAAAATGTCTGGTATTTTCTAATTCCTTCCCCTCCCCTCCCCCCCGAGGGAAAAATACTGGACTTGGCAACCCTACACACACTCAGCAACTGGACACACACCCCCGCCAGCCCTCCCTCCCCCTTCCGCTTACCTGGTTCTGCAGGGGCTTGTCTTGTGGCTGGAAATACACCCGCCTGCCAGCCCTCCCTCCCCCTTCCACTTACCTGGTTCTGCAGGGGCTTGTCTTGTGGCTGGAAATAAAAACAAAATGGCTGCTAGCAAAAAAGCCTTTTCTTAAAGGGGCCATACTGATTCTTTATTTTTTATTTTTATTTTATTGCTTAATCTTTTGTTGGGTTCGGTTTTTTGTTCAACTTTGGTTCCCCCCCCCTTTTTTCCTCAACAGACTTCCCCCCCTTTTTTGGGGGGGAGGGCGGGGGTGTTTGGTATTTTTGATTAAACCATCTGGCAACCCTAAATAAGAGTATTTAACCATTAGAATAAGGTACCAAAGGTCATAGTGGATTCTCCAACACTGATCATTTTAAAAACAGATTCATTCTTGATTTTAAAAGATCTGCTCTAGCAATTATTTTGGGGAAGTTCCATGGCCTGTTGCATTGATCAGACTAGCTCATGAAGTCTTTCCCGGCCTTATGTAATATAGGATAATTTCCCGGTGCTCCCACAGTGTGATAGCTTGACCCCCTACCAATTCAGTCTTTTCTATTGTCTAGCATAAATTACGTTCACATGCTGTAAATGACAATTCTCTATGAAATAGTATAAAAAGATGAATTGATAAAGCCTAAATTAGGTGGGTTTGAGATTGTTCCCTATTTTTTAACCTCAAGAATTTAAAGATTACTTTTGTATTATGTAAAATGATCCTTAAAAGTATTTAATATACAGGATCTGGCTGCATTTCTACGTGATTAACTGTGGTTGTATCAAGTGACACTTTAGCTTATACAGTTTCAAGAATGGAAAATGCATATGATTATATAAAAAAGCCTCTGAAATTACTTCTTTTAAATATTTTAGGTCTAAGTGGAAATCCAGCAGATATAGAAAGAAGAGAAGCAGTGTTTGGGAAGAACTTTATACCTCCTAAAAAGCCAAAAACATTTCTTCAATTAGTATGGGAAGCACTACAGGATGTTACCCTTATTATATTAGAAATTGCAGCCATAGTATCGTTGGGCCTTTCTTTTTACCAGCCTCCTGGAGGAAATGAAGCACGTAAGTAAACCTTGAAGCAAAAAATATTTAATATATGTAAATTGCGGTGATGTGAAGTTTCAGTTCTAAATTTTACATAAGATCAATTTTAATCAGCCAGTGGGGACCCAAGAACTTTCTAATTCAAAGTATTTTTGCTTTCCATTTCATTTCCCTACTGGGATAACATTAGCATAAAAACAGGCACATTGGAATTGCTATTAAAAATGTAACCAATTTTCCTAGGTCATAATATCCAGTGTTCAAATTGACGCTTGACTGTGAAGCTGATGTCCTACGCAAGCTTGAATACTTCAAGTGGGGCAAAAGTAGCAGGAGCTGCTGGACTCTTCAAAAGCAAATAGCCCACACAGTTCCTGTTTTCATGCAATGAAATGTAAATGAATATTTAGCTTTTCTCTCTCGAAGAGACTGAATAAGCAAGACTGTTTCCACATAGTGTTCACCAAGTTTTTTTTCCACTGGGAGTTGGCATGTCTAGCAGTCTTCTGTTTCCCATTTGTAAATGATAGCTAGCACTATCTTTGATCCTCCAATTCAGAAATGAAAAGGGTTTCTTGCAGTCACTCAACTGTCAGTTTAAAAACTTTGCCACCTGCTTTTGATCAGGCCTTTAATATCTCTGTGTTTTTTTTTTTTTGGGGGGGGGGAGGGGCAGGGGATTGGGTTTTTTTTCCCTTGACCAATATAGTGGTGGTTTTCTTGCTTTGACAAGTTTAAGCAAGAATGCAAAGAAGTCTAAATAAAAGCAGGCGTACAGTTATTTATTTCCAGTCTAGTGCTCTTTCATCCCATTCCCAGCCATCTTTTGTGAGGTAGTAGAAGTTGACACCAGCCATCAAGACCACCCTGTCCTTTCTGCATAGGTAACTTATAGCTAAGAACTCTGCTATTCTTCGCAAGTTCCGTTTAGACAGACTAGTTCTTGTGACTGGTCACAGGTCTGAATTACCAAGCCTTTTTCTCAATTGAGCCATCTGTTTCAGTATCTGTCAAGGAATCTTCTAAAACTGTTCAGACCCTATGTGATTGAATTTGAGTGGCTTTTGCTGTTTCAGAAACTAGCATAAATATCAGCTAAACAGAATTCTTAGGAAACCATCCTTGAGCTATAGTCCTAGCAAAGTGGATTTCTTCCACTTTGCAATGTAATGTAAAGTAAAATCACTGTTTAAAAAATCATAACTTAAATCAGCAGCAGGATACATTGATTTTTTATTATTTTGCATTTGAACTTTTTTAGTTTTTTCTGAAAGTTAATTTTCATTTGTTGATAGAATTAAATGTGGATAGCAATTAATTATAGCCTTTGCGCTAAATTTAGTGTTTTGTGAACTAGGAGGCTACAATAGATTTGTACACATTTATTTAAGCATAAGTGCGGAACAATATTCTTAGATTTTTTATCTGAACTGTTACTCTGGATGGAAACTCGGATTTAAAAAAGGCCTTTGAAAATGTTTGTATTAGATAAATATAACAAATGTGGTGGCTACATAAGAAAAAACAAGTTTAACAAACATGTTTTGCATTTAGGGTTGCCAGGTGTCTTGTTTTTAACCGGACTGTCCGGTATTTGAGCTTTCTTTGATTTAATGGTAGATGTTAAATCAAAGCTTTAAAAGAGTAACTCATTTTGGTTTTGTTCTGACTTAGACTATTTCAGAAGTTATAAGAACTGTACCTAGTTCACCATTTGTTCAGTCTTCCAGAACTTGGTACATCATGCAGATACTCCTGCTGCTGTCAGTTTCACAACTACCTTTTTTACAGTTTTAGAAGCACTAACATTGATGTTGTAGTTTCTTGAAAATTTCAATTTTTTTTTTATTCTTCCGTGGTGAGTAGATCGTAACCTGTAAGAGCCGGGTTCCGGCGATCTGCGCATGCGCAGATCGCTAGACAGTGCAGCTGGCGAGCCCTGATCATGAGTATCAGTAAGTAGTTGCATACTGTGTGAACGTGTCTACCAGCCATGCAGTACACAGTTACACAGTAGAAAGGAGGGTGACCGGGGAGGGATAGAATCCTGGGACCAGACTCACCCGTGCACCCGGGTGGGATGAGAAGCACCCCGGAATCCTCATACTCCCAGGTCAGCCCTGCTCCCCGCCAACCGGTTTCTCCCCTGGCCAGCCCTGCTCTCCCCGAATCCGTCCCGGCCAGCTCTGCTTCCCACCGGCTGGTTCCTTCCCCGGCCCAACCCGCTCCTGTCCAGCCCTGCTTCCTGCTGGCCAGTCCTCTTCCCCGTCCCTCCCCTTTTCTGAGATCATGTGTGTCGGGTGGGTGGGTTTTTTTAAAGCCATCTGGTAACCCTATTTGCATTTAAAAATTATTTATAAAACTAAAGTGTTAACTGTAGTTATCAGAATTGATAATTTGTGGTCATCATATCCTTGAAGACTTTAGAACTAGTAGATTTCATCTTCTCACCTAACTTTCTTAGTCATAGGCTGGAAGAGCAAAACGAACTTTTCTTGCTTTTTCAATTCCCAATTAATTTCTTAACTTTGAATATACTAGCCACTGAACTGACCTAATCAAACTGAAATTAAAGCTTTCTCTGTATCCTCAGAAGAGGTTACTGCTATCAAGAATTTCTACAAAATTTGCATAGCACTTCTACAAACTTTGGTTCCAGGTGCTTAGCCAGTGCCTTCTATCAGCTCAGTGATTTGGCTTTCTCTACAAGCTGACAACAAATACATGTATACTGATTAACATAGAGTAACATTTGTATTTAATAGATTTTTACAAGTTTAGTGCTTAACCTAATTTATCAATTTCAAATTAATTTTTTTTAAATAAAGAAACAAGTATGTATTACTAAAATCTATTCAAAATTTAAGTCCAATTTTAAAAAAGCCAACTGGATTTTTTTAAAATGGCTTTTATCCACAATACCTCATACTTTTGATTTAATGGTAGATGTTAAATCAAAGCTTTAAAAGAGTAACTCATTTTGGTTTTGTTCTGACTTAGACTATTTCAGAAGTTATAAGAACTGTACCTAGTTCACCATTTGTTCAGTCTTCCAGAACTTGGTACATCATGCAGATACTCCTGCTGCTGTCAGTTTCACAACTACCTTTTTTACAGTTTTAGAAGCACTAACATTGATGTTGTAGTTTCTTGAAAATTTCAATTTTTTTTTTTTGCCAAAGCGTGGCTTTAATATTTTGGAGAAAATCATCGTTGAAGATTTTTCCTCTGTGACATTTGGGTATGGGGGAAAACATTTATTCATTTAAACAGAAGTTAAAAGCATTGTCTGCTCTGAAAGTCTTGAGGGTCTGCCAGAGTATAACTAGAAACTTGTGTGTGTGTGTGTGTGTGTGTGGTTTAATATCTCTTTATTCAGTTAAGAACTGGAGAAGAAATATACCAGGTAATGTATTCAGTCAAAGGTACATAAAATAAGATGGTGAAAACCCATTAGCAAAGTTAAGAGCAACTTTTGGGAGAAATCTGTGTCCGTGTGGCACATAACAGTTGAGATTGGGAGAGTACTAGGGTTTTTTGTCATAAAGATGTTGGATCTTCTTGAGGCTCATCTTTTGAATAAGCCTCTAGCTACTAATTAACCGGCACACTTAAAGCTCCCCCTCATTTTAGCTACTGGGACAGCAAAGTGTTTTCTTTCTTGCTCATAACCTCCTCTTAATTGTTTTGAGGAGAATGAAAGGGGAGATTAAATACCGGCTATTCTGCTACTCCACTTCACATTCTCATGTGGGGGAGAAAGGTCCTGTTCCTCTGGATCTTCCTCCAGTGGCTCATAGCTTTTTCCAAGCAGCCAACAGAGTGAAAAAGGCACTAATCTGTTTCATTATTGGCAGAGTTCTAAACAGTAGAAGGGCAATTGACCAAAATCTTGTCATTTGAGCAGCTATTGGGTAAAAGTGGAAAAATACAGACTTGCTGGATCTTACTCCAGGACATACATTAAATTAGGATAGCTGTTACCTTTTGCATTGATATGGATGCTAAAGATTTTCAAACTTAAGCACCTGACTCCAGATAGCTAAATAAATGGTCTGATTTTTAAACTGCTGAGCATCTAGAATTCCATCAAATCCTCCTTTGCCTTTCTGAGTTTCTGAAATAAGCTGTTCCTCCTCTCAAGGTCCTACTTGTTTCTTCTCTCTCTGGTAACCTCTGAATGAAATGTTGACTAGCGTTAATTTAAGTATTTCTTAGGAAATTATTTATCAGACTTAAGTCTATGTAAATTTACTCTTGGTGAAAGCTATATGGATTACAGAGGGGTCTGTTTCTGACCTTTTAAGTCTTTTTCTTACAGTATGTGGAGCAGTGACTGTCGGTGAAGAAGAGGGTGAAGGTGAAACAGGTTGGATTGAAGGAGCTGCAATCCTCTTATCTGTAGTGTGTGTGGTATTGGTAACTGCTTTCAATGACTGGAGTAAAGAGAAACAATTTAGGGGGCTGCAGAGCCGCATTGAACAAGAACAGAAGTTCACTGTCATCAGAGGTGGACAAGTCATCCAAATACCAGTAGCTGACATAATTGTTGGGGATATTGCACAAGTAAAATATGGTGAATATATGTTCTACTCAATTATTTAACTTCCTTAATAGTGTGCTTTGAGTTGGTAATTTTCAATGCTCTGTATTTTAGGTGATCTTCTGCCAGCTGATGGTGTACTTATTCAAGGAAATGATCTTAAAATTGATGAAAGCTCATTGACTGGAGAATCAGATCATGTTAAGAAGACTTTGGATAAAGATCCTATGCTGCTGTCAGGTAAATATATATATTTAAACCATAGAATGGAGTAGTTGATACTAGGCTACAACTGATCCTGGAACTTGTGTATTTCTAGAATTCTGGCTTGTACAGTACAGGCAGTCCCCGACTTATGCGGATCCGACTTATGTCGGATCTGCACTTACAAACGGGGCTTTCTCGCCCCGGAGGTCGAGGTGGCAGATTGCTACCTGCGAGCTCTGGGGCGAGAGAGCCCCGTTCGTAAGCTGTTCCGGTGCCCCTGGTCTGCTGGAGACCGTCTCCAGCAGACCAGGGGCACTGGGCGGGTTCCCGCGCTTCTGAGGCTTTGCCAGAGCAAAGCCTCAGAGGCGCGGGAACCGCTGCTGCTGCCGCTTGAGAACCCGTGCCCGTG